GGGAACCGGGGGCGGGAGCCTGCGGTGCCACTCACAGCCGTTAGTCCGGACCCAGGGGATTATGGCGTCACGGCCCCCCACTCCCGACCACTGGCAGCCGAGGGGCCCAGCCGGGTGGGGCGCCCTGAGAGCACAGGGCCCTTCTGCTTTTCAAGTTCCTGGCCCCTCGCCTCTGCTCCCAGGGACCTCCATGACCAGGGCCCCTCGGACATCCCACTGCTCCCACTGAGGCCAGGGTTCTCTCCGTCAGCTTCTACAGCCCCAGAGGGAAGGTGATTATACCGGGAGCACTCAGCCCCAGCCCAAGGCAGTGGAGCACGGATGAAACACCAGGGGCCGCCTGGGCCCAGCCCAGCCCCTGCCCCTGCCCTCAGCCCCTCCTGCCTCCTCCCTGGCTGCCCCTGCACCTGGGTAAGGAGAGGGCAGTTCGGGCTCCAACACGGCCTCTGCGAAGCAGGACAGTACCCAGGCCAGCAAATGCCCCTGGCCCCCTTCGATTGGCTCACTGTTGTGGCTGGGGACCCCAAGTAGAGGGACACCGCCCAGGCTGCGCAGCGCGGGAGTCCCAGCGTCACGCGCAACCCGCGTACACCGCCCGCCTCTGGCCAGGACGCTTATACATCCGGAGGGTGGGCAGTGCCCGCTCCTCTGACCTCCCTGCGCACCGGCCAGGCGCAGGGAGGGCCGGGAGGCGGAGCCTGGACTGGCCAAGGGAGCTGAGGACACGTAGGGAGTTCAGGCCTCCCAGTTCGGTGGTGTGCTGCCCCTCGCTGCAACCCACTCCACAGTCAGCCTGCCCGCCTGGGGCAGTTAGGCCCAACACAGTGAGGCAGGGCCTGCCTGAGGTCTCAAGGCCCTTAGGCACAGGCAAATGGGATGAAAAGGCCTGGCTTAGCTTGTGCCTTCTCCTACCTACTGCTTCTGGGGCCTCCTCTGACCAGAACAGGCCTCCATGGCCTTCCAGTCCAGGGTCTCCCTCGCAAGCCTCCGTGCCTCCCAGGAGCCTCTTGGTCCTGTACTAAGGTTCTGGCAGTCAGGGCCTCCTTTCCAAGGCCTCTCCGCCTGCAACCACATCATTTGCCTGTGCTTGTCTGGATGGGGGTAGGGGGCCCGCAGTCTCTCCTCCGGGTTTTTACAATCCCAGGGCCTCAGACCCTAGGCTGCAGGGGGTGCTGGCTGGGAGGCAGGGAAGGCCCAGGAAACTGGGGACCAGGGATTAGGCTCCAATGGGAAGCAATTGACTTTGGGGCCTGAGGTCCAGGAAAGAGTGTGAGGCCAGTGGGTGAGCATGTGGGTAGTGCTGTGTGACCGGGGTGAGCTGTGTGAGCCCCTCGCGCCCCCCCTCCCCCAGGCTTTATGGGCTGTGGAAGTGAAGGGACGCTGATAGCAGGGCACATTCCCAGCCCTGAGGGGTCCTTCAGGGCTGAGGCAGGGACAGCGACCTGTGGGACCTAGGGCCAGGTCCAAGGAGGAGTGTGATAGGGGACTAGCCAGGCTCCCCTATGCCTCCTTGATGAGCAGGGCCAGCACTTTTTGTTGCAGGAGCTGTGCCCAGTGCTGTCGGTTCACACCCAGAGATGTGCAGAGATGTGCAGGGCTGTGTCACAGTGTCACCAGGGGAACCTTTTGCTGGTAGCTATACCCCCCCCCCCGTTTACGTGTGGGTCCCCATGTGGGGGCTCCATGGGGTGGGCTCCAGCATGTGGTTGTGAGTTGTCTGGATGCACGTTGTCCCAGCACACGGGGTGCCAGTGGTGGTGTCCCCCGAACCTGGGGGAGCCTTCCTCGTGTATCTGGGCGAACACCTGAAGGCAGCGGCCCAGTGAGTCCCAGGGTGACACCAACACTGAGAAGGGAGAAGTGAAAGTGAAAAACCCTGGGCCTTCCTGGAGACTGGGTCAGCCCCCTGGGGCACATCCTGAGGTCCCTGACCCTCCAGGCAGAGGTGGTGGAGGGGAGAGGGGGTCCTCCCAGCCCTTTAACCCCTTCCTGCTCAAACTGGGACCTGCCAGGGGCCCGCTGTTTAGTCAAAAGCTTCAGAGCAGAGAAAGTTCTTCGTGGTCCACGACAGGGTCCTGGGTCGGTGTGAGGGGCCCCACCCGGGCTGCTCCGTTCGCTGAGCGACTCGCTCCACCCGCTGCCGATTCTGACCCCGCGCGACTGCATAACCCCGCCCCGGGGCT